CCCCCCCCTCCCGTGCACTGACCTCTGCGGGGCCTGCAGGCAGCGGGCTGAGCTGGAGGAGCTGAGGCGGCAGCTGGAGGAGAGCAGCTCTGCCAGGGGCCGGGCCCTGAGGGCCGAGTTCGAGAAGGGGAGAGAGGAGCTGGAGCACAGGCACCAGGTCTGCGTCCGTCCCGCCTGCCCCTGCCGGCCGTGTGGGGAGCCCTGTCCTGGCGGTGCAGGGAGAGACCGAGTCAGGGGCACCGCCAGGGCCAGCCCCTGGGGCAGCTGTGGAGCACTGGCGAGCCCGGGTTCATAGGCCAGGGCTCCCCAGCCTGCTCCCCACAGACCCCCGGCTGGGCCAGGCCACAGGGCCCAGGGGGATGGCGGCCTGGGAGGCTGCTCTCACGGGTTGCCTGCCCCCAGATGGAGCTGCAGGCCCTGAAAGACCAGCTGGAGGTGGAGAGGCAGATGTGGGAGGCCAACTGTGCCAAGAAGGAGGTGGGTGCTGCGGGCAGGCGGGGGCTGGCCCCCTTCCCTCTCCCCTCCCACGCAGCACCCAGCAGCCAGGCATCGGTGTGGGCTCTGCCCCTGGCCGTCCCTGGGCCTCCTCCCACCGCCTTAGCTGTCCCCACAGAGCCCTTGCACCTCTTCTCCAGGAAGCGTGGCTGCTGAACCGGGAACGGGAGCTGAAGGAAGAGATCCGCAGAGGCCGAGACAAGGACATCGAGCTGGTCATCCACCGGCTGGAGGCCGATATGACGCTGGCCAGGGAGGAGAGCGAGAGGGCCGCAGAGAGCCGGTGAGGCCTGTCCCACCGGGCGCTGAGGCTGGGCCTTGCCCTTCCGCGCGGGGCTGCCGGGCTGCCCCCTGCGGACCCTGCCTGCTGACCCTGCGCCTCCGTCCACCAGCGTCAAGCGCATCAGAGACAAGTACGAGGCGGAGCTCTCGGAGCTGGAGCGGTCAGAGCAGAAGCTGCAGGCCCAGTGCGGGGAGCTGAAGGGGCGGCTGGCGGAGGCCGAGGGGGAGGCCGCTCGCCTGCAGGGCCTGGTGCGGCAGAAGGATAAGGCCCTGGCGGAAGTGAAGGCGGTGAGCCGGGCGGGAGCGGGCGGGAGCGGGCGGTGGGCCCCAGCCCCCCTTTGCCTGGGCTCCGGCTCACACCGTCCCTGCCGGCCCAGGTGAATGAGCAGCTGCTGGGCGAGAGGAGCGGCCTGGCCCAGGTGCTCCGCCAGGAGTTCGCCGACCGGCTGGCGGCCTCCGAGGAGGAGAACCGGCAGGTCAGGGCTGAGCTGGCCGAGCTGCGGGCACAGCAACGGCTGGAGCTGGAGCAGCTCAGGCGGGAGAAGCAGGCGGAGCTGGAGGACCTACACGCGAGGTGGGTGCTGGTCTGAGGGGTCCCCGGACGCACGGCAGGGTGGGGAGGCCGCAGCTCCAAACGGGGAGCCCTGGCTGAGGAAGTTGAGGGCCGGGCTGTCCCAGCCGACACGGAGCAAGTGTCCTCAGCAGACAGCCGGTGCCCACCGTCAGCGGGCTGGGACGGGGCGGTCAGGACCACTGCCCCTCCTGCTGTCTGGGGGTGGAACCCCCCCGCCATCTGCAGGCTCCCCCAGAACTCTGCCGTGCATCCCGCAGGGTGAAGGTGGCCCTGGCCAAGAAGGAGGCGGCCGTGAGCAGCCTCCGGAAACAGCACGAGGTGGGTCCTGCGGCGGCCGGTGCCCCGGGGGTGGGGGTGGCCCGGCCCGACCACGGTGGACACGTGTTGCAGGCCGCAGTGAAACGGGCAGACCACCTGGAGGAGCTGCTGGAGCAGCGTCGGCGGCCACTCCCGAGCACCAAGTGACACCCGCCCCCTCGACGTGGACACGGACACGGACATGGATGCGCAGCAGCAGCAGGCGGGGCCCTGGCGGGAGGGGGATCCGCCCTCTTCTTCCCTTTGCCCCGTTTGCCTGCCCTGCAGCTGTGGCTGCATTTTAACAGTAAAGAGCTGTTTTTTANGAGAGCCGGTGAGGCCTGTCCCACCGGGCGCTGAGGCTGGGCCTTGCCCTTCCGCGCGGGGCTGCCGGGCTGCCCCCTGCGGACCCTGCCTGCTGACCCTGCGCCTCCGTCCACCAGCGTCAAGCGCATCAGAGACAAGTACGAGGCGGAGCTCTCGGAGCTGGAGCGGTCAGAGCAGAAGCTGCAGGCCCAGTGCGGGGAGCTGAAGGGGCGGCTGGCGGAGGCCGAGGGGGAGGCCGCTCGCCTGCAGGGCCTGGTGCGGCAGAAGGATAAGGCCCTGGCGGAAGTGAAGGCGGTGAGCCGGGCGGGAGCGGGCGGGAGCGGGCGGTGGGCCCCAGCCCCCCTTTGCCTGGGCTCCGGCTCACACCGTCCCTGCCGGCCCAGGTGAATGAGCAGCTGCTGGGCGAGAGGAGCGGCCTGGCCCAGGTGCTCCGCCAGGAGTTCGCCGACCGGCTGGCGGCCTCCGAGGAGGAGAACCGGCAGGTCAGGGCTGAGCTGGCCGAGCTGCGGGCACAGCAACGGCTGGAGCTGGAGCAGCTCAGGCGGGAGAAGCAGGCGGAGCTGGAGGACCTACACGCGAGGTGGGTGCTGGTCTGAGGGGTCCCCGGACGCACGGCAGGGTGGGGAGGCCGCAGCTCCAAACGGGGAGCCCTGGCTGAGGAAGTTGAGGGCCGGGCTGTCCCAGCCGACACGGAGCAAGTGTCCTCAGCAGACAGCCGGTGCCCACCGTCAGCGGGCTGGGACGGGGCGGTCAGGACCACTGCCCCTCCTGCTGTCTGGGGGTGGAACCCCCCCGCCATCTGCAGGCTCCCCCAGAACTCTGCCGTGCATCCCGCAGGGTGAAGGTGGCCCTGGCCAAGAAGGAGGCGGCCGTGAGCAGCCTCCGGAAACAGCACGAGGTGGGTCCTGCGGCGGCCGGTGCCCCGGGGGTGGGGGTGGCCCGGCCCGACCACGGTGGACACGTGTTGCAGGCCGCAGTGAAACGGGCAGACCACCTGGAGGAGCTGCTGGAGCAGCGTCGGCGGCCACTCCCGAGCACCAAGTGACACCCGCCCCCTCGACGTGGACACGGACACGGACATGGATGCGCAGCAGCAGCAGGCGGGGCCCTGGCGGGAGGGGGATCCGCCCTCTTCTTCCCTTTGCCCCGTTTGCCTGCCCTGCAGCTGTGGCTGCATTTTAACAGTAAAGAGCTGTTTTTTAATACCGTGTCCCCTGTTGGTCTCTCTCCTGGGGTCCTGAGGGGCTGCAGGTCACCCAAGGGCCCCCTCTGCAGAGTGGCCCCAGCTCAGCTCTGCTCTCCGCCTGACTCCCAAGTTCCCTGCCTGCCCGGCCACCCCCAGCTCGAATCCTGTGTTCCAAGGTGACCCTGTCCAAGGGCCCCGGGCACCCTCTCCCGCCCACCATCCCATGCCTCCTCCCCGACCCATGCCAGGAGCCCCAGCCGTGAGGAGGGTGGAGAGAGTCAGGGCAGGGGAGCGGGGGGCAGCAGATGGGGCTCCCCTCCTTGGGAGGCTAGCTGCCCCCCTTCCACTTGGCTGTCTGGATGCCGCTGCTCTGGTCAGGGTATGGGGTCCAGGCCGCCTGGGCGACCCCTAGTTGTCCAGGAAGTCCCTCCTGCTCCCACAGTATGGGGGGACCCACTTGTGGGATTGCTGCAGCGCCTCCAGGTGGAGATTGAGCCCCTCCCTCTCCCTCTAAGGGCCCTGGGGGATTTGGGCTCCTTTGGGTCTGAGTCCCAGCAAAGGTCACTCTCAGTCCGACTGCCAGCTGGACATGGGGACAGCAGCAGACCCTTCCTGGGCCCTTTCTCATCCCCTCCCCCTTGGGATGTGTCAGGGCCACAGTTTCCTCTGCAGAGAGGGCTTTTCCTGCTTTCCTGGCAGAGGTCTAAGGGAGGGGAAGGCTGGCTTGGTGGGGCTCTGGGAGGGTCGGGGCTCAGCCTTGGGCACCTTAAGTTCCAGACACTTCCCTCATGTGAAATGGGGTGTCAGGGAGCCAAAATGGGTGCAGGAGCCCCGAGTCCAGGAGAGAGGTCTGGGTGGGAGCTGCCGGCCCCCAGGTGGTACTTAGGCCACAAAACAAGAGCTGACCAGGTGGGCAAATGGGTGGGGCAGAGGCCTGG